CCCCAAAACCCCAAAACCCCAAAACCCCAAAACCCCGTAAGAAGCAAAAAGAATTATCGTAATTAATAGTGTATTGTGAAGTTCAAATAACAATTCAAAATTAAACTATAATAAATGTCTCAAAAATCATTAGACACAAGATTAGACCTAGATTTTGACAGGATATATCCAACTCGATACATTGTATTTCTGTATGGATTAATATTTTTCTGCAATGTGTTAATCAACATCGACCATGGTTCTATCCCAGCAGCTACCTTGAATTTGAAACAAGATTTGAATATTGATAACTTTGAACTTGGTTTACTCGGGAGTCTGGTTTATCTCGGTTTGACTATAGGTGAGTAATATAAGCTATTAATCCTCTATAGGTTCAATTCTGGCTACCCCCATATTTACCTATATAAAGGCAAAGACAATATTGATTCTAAGCTTTTGCTTGAATGCTTTTTCACTAATCCTATTCACCATTTCTGAAGACATTGTAGTACTATCTATTTCAAGATTTTTAATCGGGTTTTGCCAAGTAATAATTCACTTAATAACTTCTTCTGATAGGTATTTGTGTGTATATATTTTCCTGTGTGGGTTGATACCTTCGGAACTAACAAGCATAAGACCCTTTGGCTGTCACTTTTACTGCTTGCTCCTCCAATTGGAGTAGTGCTTGGGTATTCTCTAACAGCTTTTATGGTCTATCATTTTACTTGGCGCTATATTTTCTATTTATAATCTATACTCGTAATTCCATGTGTGATAGCGATGATATCCATTCCTAATAAGTATTTTGACATTGAAACAGCAATTTAATATATCAGAAAAGACCAGAATCGATAATATGATTTGACTTAAATGTATTAAACGGGTGGAACTGGAGATGGAGAATATGAGAAAAATAGAATTTAAAGGTAAAACTCAAGATATGACTCCTTAGATAACATGAGTTTAGGTCTCTCTGCTGTAATTTCATTAATTTAATAATATTAAAGGATTTATTTGCTTAAGAAACACAAAAAAGGAAAGGATCACCAGAAGCAAGAAGGAGGTTATCTAGCATTGGGTAGAATTACATATCAAGAAATAATCTTAATAACTTGAATGATGAAGAACAGCTTCCCCCTGCGATCAATCCAACAGCTATTTTCTTATCAGTATTAAAAAATAAGCCTTATATACTGATTACTATCGCCTTATCAATTCTCTTTTTTGTCATTACAGGCATTTAATTTTGGGTATCAGACTATCTCTAGGTAATATTGAACGTTGATGCTTAAACTGTCTTTGTATACTTTTCATTTACTTGCATCACTGGTCCTACAATAGGAGTTATTGTAGGTGGAGTTATCATTCATAGACAAGGAGGGTATAAATCACCTAAAGCCCTAAGAACAGTAGTCATAGTGGCGTTTCTAGCGAATGCTGTGGCTCTTCCTATCCCATTTGTGGATAATTTTTAAGTTTTTGCTTTACTAATTTGGTTTTTGCTATTTTTTGGTGGTTTTATCGTCCCTATCATGACTGGATTAATTTTGACTGTTGTAAAAACTAATGAAAGGACAATTGCAAACTCACTAGCAAATTTATCATATAATATACTAGGCTATCTTCCCTCACCTTTTGTTTATGGACTTGTTTAAAATTAATTTGGAGGTAACAAATCAAGAGCAGGAATGATTTTGCTAATGTATTCAGCATTGATAGCTTTTTTCTCTGTTTTAGTGGGTTATATAATACAGGAGTAAAAGAAAAAGCCATACTAAAAGTTCAGTATAAATAATAAGCAACTTTCAAAGAATCTGATAGATGACCAAAACTAAGAGAATGGTGTTAAAAGTCCTGAAGATAAATATTCTCCTCTAAGATAGCAATATGAAAATGGATTTTAGCAAATACAGGGTCTGATAGATGAAAATTAAACAAGAATTAGAAATTACTCAACTAAAAATGATAGCAGTAAAAATATAATACTCTAGGAATTCTAAACTCCATCACATGATTATAAAGACTATTTAATTTCACCAGTCAAGAATTCTATGTACCAAGAAAATTCTTTTGATTCAAAAGCAGCCTTAGAGAACATTGATTAGCTTGAGGAAGTTGACATAGTAAAGGCTCAGCTTAGTAAAAACACTTCTTTTTTCGAACCTTTTGCTAGACTTCACAACATCTAAAATCAATGAAACTACCTATGATTGAATTTTTCTTTAGTTCCATAATCTCTAAAAAACATACCTTATCCTATATTAGATTTACTAAGCATACTATTATATTTTTATTAATACACTCTGAGAAAAATAAGAGTTTTAAGGGGTTTTGGGGTTTTGGGGTTTTGGGG